ACTGGCGCCCGCTCTCCTTCGGTGCAGCGAAGAGTCATCAATGCTAGGTAGCACCGGCAGGAAGAGAGAGGGAAGCCCATTGACAGAGTTCATCATCATTAACAGGCACCCAATTTGGGAGACTCGCACATAAGCAGAAAAGGAACGGAAAGATAAACATTAGCAACAAAAGAAAATTGTTTTTGTTCCCATAAAAAGGCAACTTGACCTAGGCACAACACTGGAAGAAATAGGAGATGAGAAAGAGAGCACAGGCGACGCAGATGAGGTAGAAGGACTCCGCGAATTTGTAGTCCTGGTCCTTGAAGGGAGCGTACAGGGGCGACAGCGCAGTGTCATCCTGGCAGTAGCCCTTCATATATCCATACACAAGAAGGGCCACGCACACCCCAGACGCCGCAAACGCAAGAAAAATCAAGAGCGACGTGAAACACCCCAAGCAGCAAGACAACACCCTGCAGATCATCTGAATAACGGTAAGTAACACCACGATGAGGCCAACACCAATTGCACCCACAGCGGTGCCCTCGGAGACCCGGAAAAACAGCTTGTACTGCCCGCACAAGCTCTTACTCACCTTCTGCTCGGTCTCATTGCCATCGGGCAAGATCACCTCATTGTACCATAGCGTCTGCTTCATCGTCACAAGCTCGTTCTCCTTCTGGAAGACAGGGAAGATGTTGGCACACACAGCACAGGCGGTGGCCAATATAGCCAAAACCAACACCAGTACACGGAAACAGGGACAGCAGCACATGAGTCCTTTTTGGCGAGTGTGGGAGAGCCTACTTCTTGCCTTGCGCTTGCAACGGAGACACGGAGAGCAGGAGGGGAGAGAGAGAAGCACTGGCGCCCGCTCTCCTTCGGTGCAGCGAAGAGTCACCCACTGCGAGGAAACGCTGCCAGCTGCACGTGTGCGCCTGTGTGCGCTGCGATCACAAAAGGGCAGCGCCGACTTATAAGTCAGATGTTTGTGTATCGCTCGTCCGCGGGACGGTCGAAGTCGATGTCCAGCTCGCTTATTCGCCAGTCCTCATACGTGTTGTCAGGCAACACGCGCCGTATGATGAGCGGTATGACGCCCTCGCGGAGCTCCTTCTGTGCGATGGTGAGCGGGTCGGTCTCGCCCTCCAAAGCCACCAGCACCGGCGCGTTCATGCTAATCTGCAGCGCCCGTGTGCCAAGGATACGGGCACGCTCGTACTTCGTCAGAACCGGCGCGGTCACGCGATCCTTGTCGTCTCGTCGTACGGCGGAACCGCCTGCCGCCTTCCCAGATAGGACAACGTCCGCGCCCTCGCCCTCGCTCTGCTCGTCGTCGCTGCGCGGGGCGCTCTCCTCCTGCTCCTCACCGAAATTGAGACTCAGCCGGTCGTCGTCCTCGTCGCGGTCAGACATCCCCCTTCCTTCAATCGCGGCCCAGCAAGAAAACTGCACGGAGCAAAGGAAAGCAGGCAACACGCCAGCCACAAGCGCCTGTGCACTTCGCACAAGACGCCCAGAGCACCACAGGCCGAGGGGAACAGCCAGCGGTGTGCTGTGGTACACGAAGTAGACAAATTAGCAAACACAATACCAGACGGTGGCTTCAGAAGGAAAAAAAAATAAAACAATCTCATTTCTGCATTGCAGCAAATACATTAACGGGTGGACACAAAAACAAATAATGGAGGGAAGGCAAAACAAAGAAAACCTCTACAGGCAAAATAAACTTCCCTTTTCTACATGTTTCCTGTGAGAAACAAGCGGCAAGTTACTGAAAAAGCCTATGTCCGCCGAATAGCACAGAAGGGGAGTATTTAAAGGCCGCGTTCAGTGCTGACGCTTTCTACTCCTAGGCGCAGCAATGGAAGAAACCAGAGATGAGAAAGAGAGCACAGGCGACGCAGATGAGGTAGAAGGACTCCGCGAATTTGTAGTCCTGGTCCTTGAAGGGAGCGTACAGGGGTGACAGCGCAGTGTCATCCTGGCAGTAGCCCTTCATATATCCATACACAAGAAGGGCCACACACACCCCAGACGCCGCAAACGCAAGGTCAATCAAGAGCGACACGCCGTAAATAAAACAACATATTCTCTCGTGAAGAAACAGTTGAGTCACGGCAATGCCCACAACGATAAGGCCAACACCAGCTGCACCCACAGCGGTGCCCTCGGAGACCTGGAAAAACAGCTTGTACTGCCCGCACAAGCTCTTACTCACCTTCTGCTCGGTCTCATTGCCATCGGGCAAGATCACCTCATTGTACCATAGCGTCTGCTTCGTCGTCACAAGCTCGTTCTCCTTCTGGAAGACAGGGAAGATGTTGGCACACACAGCACAGGCGGTGGCCAATATAGCCAAAAACCAACACCAGTACGCGTAAACAAAACATGAGTCCTTTTTGGCGAGTGTGGGAGAGCCTACTTCTTGCCTTGCGCTTGCAACGGAGACAAGGAGAGCAGGAGGGGGGAGAGAGAAGCACTGGCGCCCGCTCTCCTTCGGTGC